CAGTCGCCTAGTTTTTTAACTAGGATGGGGTGAGAGACCATCCGCAAATGCCACCAGCAGTGGCCAGCAGCAATCATGGACAGCCCACAGATGCTGCCAGCGGTGTCGGCACCTGGGGGGGTGGCAAGTGGCAACCAACCACAGGCACTGCCAGCAGTATCAGGGGTGCCTTTTCGCAGGGGGTGCACCGCCATGCTCAGGGGGTGTATGTGCACCCATGTGCACCCCCTATGCATCGCCAATGTGTGGGGCTGCCTGTGGTGGGGTGGTCTCCAGGAGATGCTACACCAGTGCCTCTCTAGGGAAAGGCTAGTATGGGGTACCAGATAGCCTCAACCCCCATGGCCTGGTGGGTTACCCCACAGAGGGGAAAGTGAGGGGTCCAGGCACATTGTCAGACACCTGAGGCCAAAAGGGTGTAAGGTGTAGCAGCCCCTGTGAGGGGGTGGTATAGTAGTCCTGGTGGTGGGGGGGGGTGTGAATAGGCCATGTAGAGTGGGGTCTGCATGGGTGAGCCTGAAGGACTGTGCATAGGCTGGCCTTAGAGATCAAGTGATCTGTTTGTGGAGGGGCCCAAGAAAGCTGACCCGTATGAAAGGGCTAGCTGCTCAAGAACCTATCCAGAAAACCCTCAAATGGTCAGTGCTGGGGCCAGGACCAGAATGGTCAAAGAGCAAGGAAGCCCACCGCAAGGGATGGCCAGAGCCAGGGGCCTGGAGTCATGACTGGTCTAGAGGCAAGGCCAGGGCCTATGAGGCCAAAGGTCCTGGAGGGGGCTGCTGCCAAGAGGGACAGGGGTCTAGGGAGTTTGTAGCCCCGCATGATGGTGGAGGTTAGGCCACCTGACTAGAGGGATCCAGGTTGGGGTCCGACATGTCAGACTGGAATGTAATGGGGCCCAGTATGGAGCTGCAGCCATGTAGGGATGCCATCTGTGGGCATGGGACATGGTGTAGGGATGGCACAGAGCACATGGACATCTACCACATCCCTTGTGGTAGATGTCCTTGCCCTTTGACCGTTCTGGTCTTGGCCCCAGCCTTAACCAGTATCCAACACCGAAAATTAAGCTCTGTGGGCCCCGATCATGCTGTGCTGCCTGCCCTGCCTGGTTCGTACAGCCTAGTCAGGCCAGCTTGTCCATCTCTCTGGGTGGCATTTGCACCTGACTATTCTAGATGGAGACCATAAAAAACTCCTGGCTCTGATCATCCCTGCATTCAGCACTGCCCAGCAAGTCGGGTCCCCCAGAGCCAAGAGATTAAACATTAAGTGCTCTTTCTATTTGCCTCCCAGCCTCTAAGTTCTCAGGGTGCACTGGGGAGCCGGAGGCCAGTGAGACCCTCCCAGGAGGATGAAGGGCAGGAATCTGACTGGTTCCTTCCTCCATCTGTTGTTACTAAGCAGCACCAAGCAGCTTGGGCAGGGACTATCTCTGCCACTCAGCATCAGTTACCATGATGTCTAAAATCTAAAAGCGGAGAGCTACATGAAATAACATGACTCCAGGAGCTGGTGCTTTAGTCACATCCCAAGCTTCAGCTAATGTCCACCAGAGCTGGCAGCATCACAGGACATGTGTTCACATGGGAGTGCATTCAACAGCTGAACAGGGTTCAGAGCTGGGATATTCAGACACTGGAGGGTGCATTTACATTTTGCAAACAGCCTGGGGACTGGGGAAGCCCAATTACCTAGAGACCTGACTAGGCAGGTACTCCTGGGTGCCCTACATCAGTGGCACTCCTCACTAGACTCCTCATTAGTCTCAAGTCCTGCCTTGGATTTTTGCTTTCACTTGTTTCTTGACTATGGGGAAAATAACATTAGGGTAATCCTTTTGTTGCAAAGAGCCCAGAAAGCCACAATGTTTCTGACACTGGTTTCCTATTTGAAATCTCTGGGTTTATATCATGACTCATTGGCGAGTATGTGCCCATCTAACAGTGCCACGATTGCGTGGTGCCTTTACAACAGCGGGTCTCAACCTTTTTAGACCCAAGGCCCCTCTTGGAAAGCACCACTCTTAATTTTCAATCATTTTTTTACTACAGAAAAATACTAGAGCAATTCTGCTAGTGCAAAGAGATTAGCCAGCCCCAGCAGGGCAGCATGGGTAGAGTACTCTGGGTTCCTGTTTGATCCAGCAACTAACCTTTCTCCTGCCCTGCTGCGGTGTGTTCGCTCCTCCTGGGCATGCAGCTCCTATTTCACAGCCCTGCAGACGGTTTTTAACTCATTTGAATGATGTTCTTTTTGTATTTGTTTCCATTTTAAACTGAATCACACGGCCTGAGACCCCTAGCAAAACTTCTAGTTTCTTTTTACCTGGAGAAAAATAGGTGCTGTCTTATACAGGCTGCCCTACAGCTCCCCCCCTCCCCCCCGGTTCAAAATCCTAGATCTGCCCTTGCATGTTTTCATCCCTAACAGCACTCTTGAAAGCATCTTGGGGCACCCCCGGAGAATGAACAGCCAAGATGGCCAATGACATCCTGGGCTGCTTTAGTAGGAGCATTGCCAACAGATCATGGAAATTATTCTTCCCCTCTATTTGGCACTGGTGAGGCCACATCTGGGGTCCTGTGTCCAGTTGTGGGCCCCTTCCCCCCCCCCCCAACAACAGAAAAGATGTGGACAAATCGGAGGAGGGCAACAAAGATTGTTTGGGGGCTGGGGGACATGCCTTGTGAGGAGAGGCTGAGGCAACTGGGTTTATTTAGCCTGGAGAAAAGACGGAGTGGGGGGATTTGATAGCAGCCTTCAACTCTCCGCAGGGAGGTTGCAAAGAGGATGGAGATGGGCTGTTCCCAGTGGAAGCAGGTGACAGGACAAAGAGCAATGGGCTCAAGCTGCAGCACGGGAAGTCAAGGTTGGCTATTAGGAGCAATTTTCTCACTTGCGAAGCGCTGGAAGCCCTGGCTGGGATGATGCAGCCCTAGTTGGGATGGGTTTGAAGCCATGGCTAGGATGATGCAGCCCTGGCTGGGATGGGTTTGAAGCCATGGCTGGGATGATGCAGCCCTGGCTGGGATGGGTTTGAAGCCCTGGCTGGGATGATGCAGCTGGGGCTGGTCCTGTTGAGCAGGGGGTTGGACTAGATGTCCTGAGGTCCCTTCCCACCCTCCTTTCTGCGGCTCTCCGGCAGCTGCAGCCTGAAAAGCACTGTGCAGTCGAAGAGCCTGGGGAAGCCTGGGCGGAGATAGGCGGATCCCAGCTCCTGCCTGGCCCCGGGAAGCAGCTGACAGCCCGGGGAGGCGGCGCTGGAGCAGCAGCTGGTGAGTGTGGGCTCCGGGACGGGCTGCACGGGGCAGGGGAGGAGCAGGGTGGCCCCTGGCACCTGCTGCTGCTCACCCGAAACTTGCTCCCTGCTCCACCTGGGCATGTGCCAGTGCTGCCCAGCAATGCTGGCAGGGAATGGGGCCCCCTGCTCCACGCCCCATGGGTGGCATGGGGGTGACACCTTGCAGCTCCCATTACTGCTGGCTGTATGCTTTGATCCCCCCTGCTCAGGGGGGCTGGGTTTTTAGAGGTAAGGGGCTGGAGTCACCTGGGAGGGTTTGAGCGCCCCTTCGGGGGCCCTCCGCTTGCCGCTTCCCAACAGGTGCCGAGCGCAGGTTCCTCCATGGCTGTGCCCCGAGGGCCAAGCAGGCTGCGGGCACACCTAGCACCCAGCCTCCTCCAAAACGATGCCCACTGACTTCAGAGCTGAGCGGCGGCCTCACCTGAGGGCACACCAGCAGGCCAGTCAACAGGGAGTCTGGGGAACCTACAGCCCCCAGGGGCAAGCCACAGACTTTTTGCAGAGGTGGCCTCCGTTATCAGTGAGAAGTGACCATGTCTTCTTCTTAGGAGCCCTCCCCCCCCGCCAAACCCA